ATCGACCAATTATCTATCGTTGAACACAATACAATATATTGAATTTGTTATACGCTACTTTACAAAGAAACATCGACTTAATAGGGCTTATTATACTGGTGTAGTTTCCGATTAGCAAAAGAGAGATTCAAAAGAAACTACACCAGTATAAATAAGTTAATAAGTCCTATTAATAAATAACGTCCATAGAGACAGTATATATATAGGCTATATATTTACCTCTATATCCTTATTCTGTTTTATTTCTGTCAACTGCGTTACGCTAGACACTGCAAATTACAAGGAAAGGATTACAAAATAGTCGCCGTAATNCTATATATTTACCTCTATATCCTTATTCTGTTTTATTTCTGTCAACTGCGTTACGCTAGACACTGCAAATTACAAGGAAAGGATTACAAAATAGTCGCCGATAATGTTTTTACGAGCCAGAAATATTTCAGAGTCAAGGCAACTGTAAATAAACATTTAATTTAATAGAATAGAACCAGCAATATATACTGTATATATAGTCGATATATCGCTTCAAAATCGAGTATAATAAGTTTATAAGCATATTTTTCGCTTATTAACAACAAAAACTATTGAGTTTCACGGAAAATTTACATTCCACGGTTCTGAAAATACGCTTATTCGTTTTAGCACAGTGTGTAAACTTGAGAATTAGCAAAATTACAGCTGAAAAACGAAAAAAAATGGCGAATTTTTTACGTTTGTTTACATTTTGACTCCGACGACTAATCTCTGAGGGGGCGTGGCTATTCCCGATAGATTTCCAGGCAGCCGCTTCTCGGTCGACTTTTATTGGTTAAAAGCGAAGTCTTTCAAACTAGAAAGCGCAAATCAGATCTTAAAAAGAGTGTAAACAAGAATTTTATCATCCAATGAATTGGAAAATGGTCTCCCATAGACTTAACATNGGATTAATAATATTATCTTCTAATGAATCCAAACATGATCGTCCCTCTTCCATCGTGATATAATCATCTTTTAAGTGCCTTATGAGTTCTTTCTCGGATTCTTTATTTACATGTAAAACTTCGACTCCAGAAGAAGCCTGTTCCAGTTCTAATCTTAACCAAGTAACATCTTCCTTGGCTTTATATATTTCTCTTTTGGTATATTCTAAAACTTTACATTCTTCAATCTCTTGGTCTTTTAACTTTAGCAGTAAGTTTTCCAAGCGTGATAATTTAGTTATCAGTTTTTCCGTTGTTTCACTTTCCTGGAAAATTTTTAAATTTAAATAATTTAATGTGATTTAAAATATATTTAAAAACAAAAAGACTTACCTGGGTAAGACTCTTCTTCACTAAAGATATTTCTTTATCTTTATCTCTGACTTTTCTTTGAAGATCATTTATGTCATGTAACAATAATTCAAATTTCTTGTTTAATTCTTCTTTTTGTTTAGTTCTCATCTCTAATTCTTTCATTTTTTTGCTCATTTCATTGCGTTGTTTGTCGTATAACAATCTTCTACTATTTTTTTCGTTCGTGTAAATGGCCAGCTGATTCTTCAACGAGTTTCTTTTCTTTATCGCTGACTGTATCTTATCTTGTAAATGATGCATTGTCACCTGAAATATATTAATCAATAATTTCTTTAAACATTTTAATTACAATTAAAATATAATGCTGCATAAATACAGGATGGTGGTAAAGTAACTTATTAACCAACTAACGGCAATTTCTGGAGCGCGGAAAGAGAGGATAGCATACTTCAGTATGTTGTTCATGTTAATTACGTAATAAATGTTAGAGTCATGCATAAATTGTATAAGTGATTTGTTAAAGCGAAGTATTATTTCCTATGGGTTTATGGCATGGCTTAATTGTAAGCAGCCATATATTTCAATAAACTTGAAAACAGGGCAATCGAGAGAAGGAAAGCTGGAATTTTTCCCTAGATTCGAAGAAATGTCAGGGGCCCCGTAATGATTCCTACTCCTATAAAATTTACGTTATTTTTATTAATTAACAGAAAATAAAATATTTAAAACTGCTTTTTATTAATAAATAAACATTCTATGTATTTCATTTATTTAAAAAACAAAAGGCTAAAGAGATCCGCTAAGAAGCAAAAGAGACACGGTTAATCTTTCGATAGCCTTGCTCGAAAATACACGACTGAGAAAACTCTGGTAAAATCGGGAATAATTTCGGGCAAATATTCCTAAGAGAAGACATAAATGTGTTTCCTCTTAATGAGGAATCTTCTATCGGTGGAAAAGAATACGTTTCCTTAGTGAGAGAGGACCTTCAAGGGACGAGTGGATAAAACCACTAAACACTGGTAGTTGTCGTGGTTATTTCCAGTTTTCTTCACGTGTCTAACACCTGAATAGGAAACAGCATCCCATAGAAACTCCTTCCGGGAACTACCACCCTTGGCAGATCGTCCAATCCCGTTGTGAAAGACGTATATTCACATTNGAAACTCAAAGCATACTTTTTTCAATGATGCAATTTCTTTGGATTTTTTCGACATAACAGATTGTTTCATTTCGTTCCATTTATCTTTCACTTCTTTCTTATGTTCCAAGTAAGATATATTCTTCTCAATTACGTACACTTCTTTATTTTGATTATTAATTTGTTCTTTTAGAATTTTCATTTCATCTTCTTGATCCTTTAACGTTTAAATATTTTATTTTATTAATTAAGTTCTAGTAAATTCTGATTACACACTAAAGATTATCTAAAGCGGTCCCTAACTCGGTCCTAACATAAAACATTAGCAAATTTAGACCTAACTTATTGAGCACACCAGTGACCGAGTGATCATTGAATACTGATCGCATTCTATACTTGTAATATAATTTAAGAGAAATGTTCTATATTCTACCATTTCTTCTTCCAGATACACTTCTACTCAGAGAGAATAGTTGATTAGTTAATTTGTTTGATAGAATATGGCAATGCAATTTGCCAAGGAAGAATACCAACCAGGAAGATTTTCCTTGAGAAACTGGGCCCTATTTTGTTATGAGACACGTGAACTATACTGTACATAGCTAGTGAGTTTCAAACCCACAACCTACGTTTAGTGTTTTTATCCACTCGACAATTGGTGAGCAACGAGAATAAGAAAAGAACGTTAAAAGTACTGTCAATAATGTCATTTTACACGTTCCTTTAGAAGATAAAAGATCTAGAAATGGCGTCAAATCGGTAAAACTTTACACTATTCTTACGAACCGAATATACTTATTAATATATTTTGTTTCATACATATTGAGAGAAGTAAAGTACCATCCACTTCTCACCTTAATTTCAGCACTTTTTATGATAATATTTGTTTGTAATGCGTCCACGTTATTTTCTGCCAAAATCTTTTCTTCTTTGTTTCTTTCAATAGTATCTTCTATAGACTGGCATTCTACACGTAAATCTTCAATATTTTTCTAAAATTAAATAATAAAATATTCATTAACTTGTATGAAATTTGTTCGAAATTTCCATTTAATGGCTAACATTTTCTTTCGATAAGTTTTCCTTTAATGAACTTAAATTAAATTTAATAGTTTTAAGCAATTCTTCGCGTGTAATTAATTTTTTATTTTGATAAAGAATTTCTTCTTTCTTCTCGTCCACGTTTATCATTATACTTTTGTTCTTGTTTTCTCTATTTTGCTTCTTCTCTAAGAGTTTAAAGAGTTTATTCTTTCTCTTTACAAGAAAAAAATGAATAAATTAAATTATTCTAAATTATTTTTATATATAAATATATCGAAATTCGTATTTTACTTTAATATATAAATTCTCTAAATTCTGTAATTCGTTACGTTTATTCTCGACCACTATCCTTTGTTTTTCCAAATCTTCTTCTAAAGATTCCTGATACAATTTCATTTCTTCGAAAGTCTTGCCGATTTTATTTTTAAATCTCAACATTTTCTTTAATCTATCGGAATAAACATGTAAAAAAATGTGCAATAATTTAAAAAAAAACATTGTTTTAATACTTTTTATTTCTTTCAGCTTCATCTTCTTTTGCATCTCTATACGCAGGAGTCAGTGTTTCTCTAAGTTGCAAATCTCTTCTTGTTAATTGAAATAACTTAGTTTCTGCTAAATTATTTTCTCGATT